GGGGGGGGGGGGGGCGGGGGCGGGATTCACCCAGTGCCCCTCTCTGCCTCTCCCTAAACCCCCTGGCTCTACTTCCAGCCCAGACAGAGGCTGAAAGGAGGTCTTGCTTTCTCGCTCACAGTGGACACCCCCCTCCAAGCAGTAAGTCCTCCTTGGCCAGCCAGGGGATGACCATCTCTTCGGAACCATAATCTCCCTTCTCACCCCACTCCTACGCAATCAGCCAGGACCTGCCCTTTCTCCAGCCTTTGTCCAGCTTTCCAGAAAGGCAGAAGCACATCCCGTCTTGTCACGGGCACTCATTTTAAATAGAGCTGTTTAAAACTACGTGACCTGATGTGGGTCAAGTCCAGAAGGAATTTGGAGCCAGGAAGGAACTGCAAGGGCTGGGCCAGCAGCACGAGCAGAATTCACGCTTTGAGAGTGAAGGAAATCCATAGTGAGACGCTGACCTTGGCAGCAAAATGGGGTGGGGGGGCTCAACAATCCAGACAAGTATTATTTTAATGCAATCTTTTTATCAAAATTAATTTGTATATCAAAAAATTTTATCAAAATTTAATTTAAAACTTTTTTACATGAAAATTTTAAATAAAGACGGGATCCAGTGCAGAGCTGAGATTCAGGTGAAGCATGCAAGGTGAGTCATGCACCTGCAAGGTGGGACCTGTCTTTCTTTAAAGTTTGGATGGTTTGTTTGCTGTGGATTTTTTTTTTTTTTTTGCATTGATTTTGTTTGGAAAACATGGAGTTAATTTAGAATATAACGTAAATAAAAATTGGTACTGGTCTTAATTACTGGGTTTGTTGGAGCCCCCTTATATTTTGCACCCAAGGCTAGAGCCTTACTGACTTCACCCTCGTCCTAGCTCTGGAGAGGGAACAAGTGTCCTAAGGCCTCTGACACTACCCAGTATCTGAGAACTCACCCGGTCTTCCTGGCGAAACCTGGCCTACATTCATTAATGTGTTCCTTCAACATGGTTTATGATTCCTGCTCTGGGCCCGCCATTGTGCGAGCCTTCGTAGCTGAGTTGGTCTCTGCCTCCGTGGTGTTTTCGGTCCCAAGAAGGAGAACTTACACATACTATTGCCTAAATAACCGCTTAATTCCAATAAAGTGCTACAAAAGAAATTTTATGGTGCCCAGAGTCATCAAGCCACCTGACCCAACCTAAATTGAGCATCAGGGAGGGCTTCCCAGAGTAAGCAACATTTTAGCTGAGAATTAAAGGTTGGGTAAGAGCTGGACAGACCACAGAAGGAAGAGAGAAGCTCCCAGGAGGAAGGAACTGCCATGCAAAGTCCCTGAGGTAGGAAGGAATTTGGCAAGACTCCGTTCCTCCTGGATTAACTTTCAGAGTGGGTTCGGGAGATCAATAGCAGCCCAGCGCAGTGGCTCCCAGGCTTGCGTGTTCCTCCACATCACCTGGGAGACACGTTAAAAATGCATATCATCGGACCCGGGCTGTGGAGTCTGCAATCCCACAGGTCTGAAGTGGGGCCCAGGGGTCAGGTGCCGACATAGCGAGTCCCAGGAGGCTGCTGGCCTTTCCACACCCCCAGACTCCAGCTGCCCCCCTCACCAGTCTGCCTGAGAGACTCCTGCCCCGTGGCGAGCTGGGCCGTGTCGCTCTCCGCAGGTTTGAGTGGTTCAAGGATCTGGGCCTGAAGTGGTACGGCCTCCCTGCTGTGTCCAACATGCTGCTGGAGATTGGCGGCCTGGAGTTCAGCGCCTGCCCCTTCAGCGGCTGGTACATGGGCACGGAGATCGGCGTCCGCGACTACTGTGACAACTCCCGATATAACATCCTGGAGGTAAGGTCCCTCCCTGGCTGTCGTGATGGGCAGACAGGAGGCAGAGGGGGCCGGCCCATCGGTCCTTCCCCACAGCCGAGCTTTGGGTCTTGGAAACTGGGAGAGGTTAGAACAGAGGCTGCACCGCTGGTGAAGGCCCCAGCCATCCCAGAGCATCCGCAGCGGGAACAGAGCATGTGCTACGGGCTAGGCACTGTGCCAACCACCGTGTATAGATGAGGTGCTCATTTCATCCCCAGCACAGCCTCTGGGTATGACAATCCCCGTTTCACAGATGAGGAAGCTGAGGCCTTTCAGAGGTTAAAGCGACAAGCTCAAGGTCACCCAGCTAGCGAGTGGCAGAGCGGGGATGTGAGCTCAGTCTGGCTTTCCGGTCCAAGTTCCTAACCACGCGGCTACACGGCCTCTTATTAGAATGGTTTGAAAATGACCCATGAACGGGCGCCTGGGTGGCTCAGTTGGTTAAGCGACTGCCTTCAGCTCAGGTCATGATCCTGGAGTCCTGGGATTGAGTCCCGCATCGGGCTACCTGCTTAGCAGGGAGTCTGCTTCTCCCTCTCCCGCTCCCCCCTCTTGTGCTCTTTCTCTCTCTCACTCTCTCAAATAAATAAATAAAATCTTTAAAAAAAAAAAAAAAGAAAATGACCCATGAACTCGGAGGGTTTCTTGCCTCTTTCCTGAAAAACAAGGGAGGAGGGTTGGCAGCCGTTTGCCCACATATGCATTTCTCAGTGGAGGGTCTGATTCCCTCCTTGGCTGAGTCATCCTCATCTACTAAAGGCTGCTAGGGTGGAGTCTGGAGCTCAAATCTGGCAGATGCATCAGGATAGCTGTGGTCCTGCCAGCAACTGATTCCTAACAACTGTCTGTGTGGCGGGCTGTGTTTCAAAAGGAGGCATGAGAAACAGAGAAGTCAAGCACTGGACCTATGTCACACAGTAAATAAGGCAAGATTAGAACTCAGAATCGAGCATTAGGTTTCTGTTGTTAAAATCCATGGGTGTGGGGCACCTGGGTGGCTCAGTCGGTTAAGCATCTACCTTCGGCTCCGGTCATGATCCCAGGGTCCTGGGATTCAGCGCCGTGTCGGGTTCCCTGTTCAATGGGGAGCCTGCTTCTCCTTCTCCCTCTGCCCCTCCCCCTGCTTGTGTCTGATCTCTTTCTCTCTCTCTCAAATAAATAAGTCTTTAGAAATAATAATAATAAAATAAAATTCATGGGTGTTCACATGGATAGACCGTGAAGACGTTATGCTAAGTGAGGTAAGTCAGACAGAGAAAGACAAATGGTGTGTGATATCGCTTGTATGTGGAATGTAAAAAAACCAAACTCATAAAAAGAGAGTAGAATGCTGGTTACCAGGGGCTCGTGGGTGGGGGAGTTAGGGAGGAGATGTTTCAGGGTGCAAACTTGCAGCGAAAAGATAAATAAGTTCTGGAAATCTAATGCAGAGAAGAGTAATTATAGTCAACAATACTGAATTATAAACTTCAAAGTTGCTAAGAGACTAGATCTTAATTGTTCCCACCACGGAAAAAGAAATAATAATTATGTGACATGATAGAGGTGTTAACTAACAGTGGTAATCATATTGCGATATATAAATGTGTCAAACCAAGGCCTTAAATTTGTATACCTAAACTCAGACAACGTTATATGCCCATGATGTCTCAATTTTTAAAAAATCCCATGGGTATTAGCTTGGAAACGGAAGCCAGGGGTCCTCAGCCTTGCCACACACTGGACTTACCTAGGGAACCTTATTATGCCTGCGTCCCACTCACCAGGATTTGGATATAATTGCTCAGGGATAGAGCCTCGATTCCAGCATTTTTCAAAGCTCCCCAGAAGATTCTACTGGGTTGCCACTGATCTCTGCAAACTTCTGGCAGGAGAGGAAAAGACATTTCAGGCCATTTCCGTAGATGTGGCTCAAGTCACATTTGGGGATTTTTTTTTTAAATCATAGAGTCTTTTTTTTTTTTTTCCTGCAACCGCTTTCCATTCTTGTAACCAAAGTAATGGTGTAGAAGTAACAAGAGCAGCATGATGGCTATACACACTTTCCTCTCTCATAAAATAACTCAAGTTTTGTATGTATTTATGTAGAGCAGGAAATTTCTTTCTTTCTGTGAGATGTGTCACTGCCAAAGGACCACAGCAGAACCTAACACCCCAGCCTCAAAGAATGAATTAATATGAGATCTGCTTTCGTGATCTCTGCTTACATTTCGATTGCAGGGAGTCCTCCCCGAGTAGCTTAAATGAGATGCGCTCCTGCGCCAGCCCTCCCGGTCCAACCACTGTTCTGTATAAATGTTGACAGCTGGGCTGGGAAGCAGTTTACCCAAACCTGAGAAATTGTCGCCTCCTAGCCCCGTAATGAGACCTGGGCTCCCACAAGTGACTAGAATTGACAGAGGAAGGAAAAGCAAGGCTCTAATTAAGGAATTTGCTGTTGGGTCTTCCCCACTCCTGACCTCAGCCCCTGGTTCAGCTTGAACTGTAACATGTCAGGAGTTGGTTTGTTTCCAGTAGTTTTGTCAACACAGTTGGCTGACTGGGGAGCTGCTCTCAGGTCTTGGATGTTATGCGTCTGCCTGGGCTCCAGCTCCAAGGCCAAATGGCTCTATGGACCTTGCTGAGCCTCAGTTTCCTTATCTGTCAGATAGACGCAGGCAGGTGTCCCCCTGAGCTCAAAGCACCCATGGTCTGGATCCCAAGTATGGCTACTCTAGGTGTGGAGCAGGATCGGTGGAGAGCCTTTCCTTCTAGAAAGCAGATGATGCCACTTCCAGACCCACTCTTCTGCTTAAAACCCTCCAAAGACCCTCTCCATGATATTTGGAATGAAATCCTGACTCCTAGGCTTATCCCAAATCCTGCATGATCCAGTCCTGCCTCTTTCTCCCACCAACTCCCCTGGCTCACTGCCCCCCACCCCTCAAATACACTGGTCTTCTTTCTATATCTCAGATGGTGCAAGCCTGATCCCACCTCAGGGTCTTTGCACCTGCTGTTCTCTCTGCCTAGAACCTTCCCTCCGCAGACCTGCAGATATCTTGCTTCTTCTCATCATCTGGGTCTCACCTGATATGCCACTTCCACAGTCGGTCTTCCCTGACTATCCTGGCTCAATCCGGCCCCCCATCCCTCTTTATCTCCTTTCCTTGTCTTATTTTCTCCCTAGGAATTAGCACTTATCACAATATTAACTGTCTCTCTCCCCAACTAGAAGGTAAGCTTAAAAATAAAAGGGCCACCCAAGTCTCTCTGGTTTTCTGCTACCAGTGGATTCTCAATAGAAAAGTCTTTTGAGTGAGTTTGTCAGTCCGGCAATGAGTTGACTAATTAGTGAAGAAGTTAGCTAGCCCTGTCTCTCCAGAAGTGGCCTAGCCTGTGAGTCTGCGTTTCCTTCCTTTTTCAGGAAGTGGCCAAGAAGATGAACTTGGACATGAGGAAGACGTCCTCCCTGTGGAAGGACCAGGCGCTGGTGGAAATCAACATTGCTGTTCTCTACAGCTTCCAGGTAGCACGGCACACATCCTGGTTGTCGAGTCTCCAGGGGGAGCTATAAAACCTTCCAGAGGCTTGGAGCAGAAGGTCAAGAGACTTTGCTACTAGGGGGTATCTGTCCGCCAGCAAGGTCTACTTCCCAGCATACATGCCTTGATCTCCACTTTGGATCTTAGGTGGAGACCGTTTGAGGAAGAGATGAATAGATGAGGGAGGGGCATTGGGACTTGTTGCTTATGATTTATTAGAATTGGGACGGCAGGCATCCTCTGTGTCTTGCCACCTCTTGGGGGTTCAGACTATCACATAACAGACGCGAATACCCATCTTCATTATCAGAAGCATATCAGCCCACTCAATGCGTGGCTCTGTGGTAGGTGGTATTCCATTGGATGGCTGTAGAATTTATTATCTAAACCATGATAATTTGAGAGCAAAAGGAAAACACTGCTAATAATTATGCCAGGGTGGCAGGCATTAGCTGGTATTCTCCCGGGCAGAAGTCTATAGAAGACTATAGAATAGAGATTCCTCTGTAATAGAGACCAGCTCTATCCTCTGGGGGTTGAGAGTCTGGGAAGCTAGGCCCTCCTAGACATCCATGGAAGGCACATGCAGTAGAATGAATGGTTCAAGTCATGGATAGACATGAATACGGACCATGGGCTCCCATGTCAGGCGTAGGGAGAATGGACACATGGAGGAATATCCCAGGACAGAGACAGGTTGAGATGGAATGAGGGGGAAGGAAGTCCCCTCTTCTCTCTCAAGTGTGGAGGAGTGAGGTATTCGGGAGTCGTTGAGAAGGATGGAGCATAGTGTGGTGGACTGGAGGACTGGCATGAAGACCGGCGAGCCAGAGATAGGAGAGATGTGAGTGGGATGAGTGATTGAGGAAGGAAGATGCAGAAAGGGGCAAGGGTTTGTGGGCAGAGAGGGAAAGCACTGTTTAGACAAGATGTGAATCTGGACCAGCCGACCAGCACGGGCCCTGGGGGCTGGTTACCCAGATATGCAGTCCACCCACCTCTACAGCAATTTCTGTGTTTTAATTTAAAAAAAAACTCCTCCTGAGTACTTAAAAATTTTTATTTTAAGAGGATTTTATATCAGCACCATAAGTGGAGGGTCAGCATTAGTTGTCATAAATAGAAGGTAATTATAATATTAAATAAATTAATAAACAAATAAACACAGGGAAAACAATACAGAGTTGTTAAATTCTAGCTCAATGCTGCCTGAGGTTCCTCTCTCTGGTGAAAAAGAGGGGGAGAGGGAGGAAGGAGAGAGGAGAATTGGCAAGAGAGGCGTTGAAAATGGGTTAGCACCAAAAGGAGACTCTCCCCTGGGTATAATTGAGAGGGAAATGCAGAGAATCACTTTACACCACCTAACATCATCTCCGGGACCACCCTCTGGGAAACGCTGCTCGATGGGGAACAGAGTCCTGAAATACCCCAGTTTCTTTTCCTTCCTGACTCCCTGTCCCCTCTCCTCCCACAGAGTGACAAAGTGACCATCGTTGACCACCACTCTGCCACCGAGTCCTTCATTAAGCACATGGAGAATGAATACCGCTGCCGGGGGGGCTGCCCCGCAGATTGGGTGTGGATTGTGCCCCCCATGTCTGGCAGCATCACCCCGGTCTTCCACCAGGAGATGCTCAACTACCGGCTCACCCCCTCCTTCGAATACCAGGTCCTGCCCCTCCCTGTCTCTTTGGTGCTAAATCTTCAATATTTGGGATGCATGTTTTGCTTCAAGCATGTCTGAATTCAAACTTACTCTTGGGGCACTCAGGTGCTCCATAGCCGATGTGGCTGGCGGCTACCCTCTTGGCCAGCACAGCTCTAGCTCAAAGACTAATGGGGTCCCCCAGGAGAGTGTTTGAGAGGGATTAAGGGCTGAGTGGAAAGGTCTAGCAGGACAATGCAGGGAGACTGGACCAGCCACTCTGTGCAAGGACCCCTGTGGTCACCCCCAGCAGAATCAGTCCCTGCAAGGGCTGAGGGTTAGACAAAGCTGGGCAGCCACGAGCACCCAGGAAGTCCTGAGCATCCCCCAAGAGGAGCCAGACTTCCTCACTACAGTGACCATAGTCCTCTCTTCCCAGCCTGAGCCTTGGAACACCCACGTCTGGAAGGGTACCAATGGGACCCCCACAAAGCGGCGAGCCATCGGCTTCAAGAAGCTGGCAGAGTAAGTCTCCTGAAGTCGGTGGGGGATAGAAGTGCCTCCAAGCTCAGAGAGCCCCAGGCAGAGGAGGCTGGGAAGATGCTTGTGCCTCTGACCCCTCATGTGTTGCGATGTGACTTCTCCATCTTCTCTGACCCCCTCCTGCCTTCTTTGCCTCGGGGTCTGAGATGTGGAGGTTGCTTCAGCTTTTTTCTTTCCCAACCTCACGTTCCTCACCTTGGTGTCCTAAATTCTTGTCTTGGAGGCAATGGCATGTTGGTAAACCAGCTCTCCTAAAAATAATAACAATGGTACTGTTGATAATAACAGATTTGTAACATTTGCCGATTTCCGTGGTATAAATACTCCCGCTGTGGCCAATTTCAAGCTACTTACAGGAAGTCACTGAACCCAGAGGTGGGAGGAACTGGGACGAGCCAACTCAAGAGGGCTCTCACCCAGGGCTGAATTCTAACAACACTCATTCATTCATTCATTTGGCCAACAAATGAATACTGAGGGCCTACCTTGTGCCAGGCACTGTGCTAGGCTCCAGTGATGCCTGATGAGCCAGATCAGTGTTGTTCCTGTCAAAGCTCACAGCCATTCATTTTCCAAGAATCACCCAAATACAGTAAACATTGCAAGTGCCTGACCAAGTTTGGGAGGTCAGAGAGGGCTTCCTTCAGAAGATGACAATTGGGCTAAAGAATGAGATGAATAGACTTAACTGAGCAAAGGAGGGAGGGAAAGAGGTTATGGGCCAAGCCACTGAAGAGTAATGATTCTTGAAGAATGTGTGGCCAACCAAGGGACCCGCTGACAAGTCAGGTGGGGCTGACCGAGATGATCTAATGGAGATAACCTTTTGGCAGAGGAGCTGGGTGTGCACTGAGCGTCTCTTCCATCCGCACCCTCCGGTCCAGAACTCTCTGGGTACAATCCCTAGAGGGACAACAGATGCCATCCATGCCACAAACCCCAGAAGCCAGGCACTGGTGGGTCCTGCAGGGACTCCAAACCTAGGTCCTTGTTCCATTAACATGGCTCATGCCACCTCTCTCCTTCCACCTAACCCCCTCTTCCAGCCACACAAGAACACATCAGCAACCATCCTTTCCCTAAAAAGAGAATCACAGATATTCTCGGGGAGGGCAGCCTTGGGCTTCAGTTCAGTTCAACTGTTTCGGGGAGAAAAGGGAAGAAGAAATCTAAAACATTAATTGCACTATTAAGTGTGGGGTGGAAACAATGGTAGTTAATTATAGATGCTTTTTTATGCTCCAATCACTCAAAGGGAATCCTCCAGACACCTTTTATTCTTTTCTGTTTCTCCCCCTGAGCTCCGAGTGCTCCTGCAGCGTGGGTGGTTTCCCTGATTCTCAAAAATGAATTTACCACCAATAATCCCCAGGTGGGAGTAATTAGCAATTTGTCTTCTCTGAGGTCCCTCGTTAGACCAGGGATGCTGGCTCAGAAGGTGAGCCCAGGCATTCCTGGGCCTCTGCCTGTCTTCCACCACCACGCCCTCATCAACAGGAAGGAAGGAACCCTGGTTCTGAATTTTCCGTTTAGCTGGAAAGAGCCTAGACTTGATATTTAAACTCTCCAGGGATTCGGAGAGAACAGCATCTTTAAAATTCATTCCCTCTTTTGATGGATATTTATTTAGTGCCTATTAGCTATCAGGCTCTGTGCAATACCCTGAAGATGAAGCCTGATTTAGTCCTTCCTTCGTGGATTTATGAACCTCTAAGATTCCTTCTAACTCAATACCTGGTGATTTGTTAATGATATTCTCTCTCACACACACACACACATACACACTAGAACGTAAGCTCCATGACAGCTAATTGTCTATGTTCTTCAGCTCCTGTAACCATACCTGGCACATGATTCAGCACTCAACAAACGTTTGGTGAATGAATGAATGAATGATCATCTTTGGGGGCCATGCTTGGCAAACCAAGGTTCTCAAGACTGGGATTGGTCAACCAAGCAACAAACTAACAAAACTAACCAACCATGTTAGCTCATGACTAGTTGCTCTGGAGGGATTTAATAAAGGGGTCAATATGGTGCTAAATTCAGGCTTTTAGTGTCCCTGAAACCATCAGAGATCAAGAGAGTAAGTTCTCTCCCACTACATTTCAAGGATCATGGTTCTTGCCCAAAAGCCCCAGTCTGGCATCTTCCCTCCTTTCTACATTTCCCATTTTCCTCTCCATCCTCTTCTCCCCAGAGCTGTCAAGTTCTCGGCCAAGCTCATGGGGCAGGCAATGGCCAAGAGGGTCAAGGCAACCATCCTTTATGCCACAGAGACAGGCAAGTCGCAGGCCTATGCTAAAACCTTGTGCGAGATCTTCAAACACGCCTTCGATGCCAAGGTGGGTATGGGGCAGTGCCAGATCCCTGCTTCTTCATGGTAAATATACAGTTGGGAAGGGGAGAGAGGGAAGTCAACAGAGAAGAACCTTTGAGAATGGATGGAAGCACACCCCAAGGTGCCCATCGGCATGCATATGCATATTCATATAAATTGCAGAGGACTTTGATGCCCCTCTTCCCATGACCTTCCAGGAGAGTCCAGGAATCACAAAATGAAACCCCATCTCAGAGCCAGATCTTAAAGGGTTTTTGAGAAAACATTCTGGGGTCAGTTTGGGAAGCCCTGCATTAAATATAGTTCAATATCAGAGCCTTCAACTTGCAAGTCCATACAGTTGAACAATATGGGAGTCAGGGGTGCTGAAAATCTGCATATATCTTTTGACTCCTCCAAACTTAACTACTAATAGCCTATTGTTGACCAGAAGCCTTACTGATAACACGAACAGTTGATTAACACATATTTTGTATGTTGTATGTATTATATACTGTATTCAAGCAGTAAAGGAAGCTAGAGAAAGGAAAATGTTAAGAAAACCAGAAGGAAGAGAAAATGCATGGACAGTACTATACTCTATTTATTGGGGAAAAATCCACGAATAAGTGGACCCACGCAGTTCAAAGCCATGTTGTTCAAGGTCCACTGTATTCTAATCTCCAAATGAGAAGGGGTTGGAATATAAGCATGTTTGTTCATGGCTCACTTATTTTCAAGGAGCCTCTCAGGAGACTGGGCTTCCCCAGAACCTACTTGGAGAAATGTTGTTCAAGAGATGCAAAGATATGGGACAATAATCTTCTTTATGACAAGGGTCTCAGACTTAGTTGGCCCAGGTCCCATGCTGGTGGAGGGAGGATTAGCAAGGAGGCTGAGCAGACCTGGTCAGAGGAGCTGGATGTGCACTGGCCATTCCCAGCCTAAATGTGGTCAAGAAGATTCCAAGATCAGTTGGTTATAAGCCCAAGGATCTCCATCAAGATCCGTCTCTATTAGCGGGCCAACCCCTTTCACCATCGCCCCCAGGTTCTTTATGGTCCTTCAGGCCACTGTGACCATAGAAAGGTCCCACACTGCCAAAAACTTTTAGTTCTACCCACTTGAGCCCACTGAAATAGTAACACTCAGAACTTTTGGTTCTCCTTCCAAAGGAGATGGCTCAAGATGACTCATGTTTTTCCTCTGTCTCTCTTCTTCTCCTTCCCCCATCACTTTTTTGTTCTCTCTTAACTCTTCTCCTTGTCACCTTCTCCCTTCCTCTCCCTCTCCCCCCCCCCGCCGTTCCTTCACCCTCGCCCACCTAGGTGATGTCCATGGAAGAATATGACATTGTACATCTGGAACATGAAACTCTGGTCCTGGTGGTTACCAGCACTTTTGGCAATGGAGACCCCCCTGAGAATGGGGAGGTAAGATGAGCTTTCACCTGTTCTAGCATGTTCTCCACTGGGGGGAAGAAGGAGCGATAGCAGTTACACCTGCCAGTCAGCAGCAAATCCTCCCAGAGTGTCAAAAGCCCGTGACTTCGATTTGGATCCAAGTTCCACAAAGACTGGACAATTCCAAGACCTCAGTGTCTTCGTGTCTGCTGATTAGCCAATCCTTGGTGAAAATGCTGTTGCCCGAGTGAGCTCCTGCTTTGGGATGGATGCTCCCATCAGGACCTTGGCATCCCCTGCTCCAGATGAGAGAAGTGGGGACAATATTTTTATAAAGAGAAAGCCACAGTGGGGATTTGTGGGCTGGGGGTGGCAGGACCACACCTGTAGTCGCTTAATCGGGGTCCTTCCACACGCACCTGCAGCTCAAGCGCTGCTGCCCACCCCGAACCCCTGACCATGTCTAGCATCCTGACCCCCAGAGGCGTCAGGCTCCACTTGTGCCAGCCAGGACCCCAGACGCTCAGTGCCCGACCCTGTTCTGGTTCCTAAATCTCTGCTTCACATTTCACTCATCTCTTTTGGCTTCCAGAAATTCAGCTGTGCTTTGATGGAAATGAGGCACCCCAACTCTATGCACGAAGAAAGGAAGTAAGTGAATGTCCAGGGTCACATTACACACTTGGGGAGTAACTGAAAATTGTCTTTTGGCATCTGGGGTTCACATTCGAGTGCTGGCTGGTTTTTGTGACCTAAGGTCCACTTGTGAGCAATGTTAACTGGTAGATATCTGGGGTCCACTGGGGCTGATGTTTTGGCTCCTCGGGTGACTTCACTGCCCTGTGCCTCAGTTTCTTTTTCCATCAAATAGGGCTGGTTATACCTGCCTTAACTTCTTAACTTGTAAGAACCAAGGGAGAAAATAGATGTAAGCATCTTGTGAAAACTCAGGAGCCCCTAAGTGTAAACACCAGTTCTTATTATCTCTCCTTTTTGGAAACCTACATTCGAAATCAGTGAAAATGAACTTCTTTCCCTAGAACCGTTCCATCGGACGCTCATGGTGGAATTCTAGCTAATATAGAGGTTGAGTTCAGAAGATAAAATACCTTATAAAGCAAAAAAAAAAAAAAAATTGCCTGTAGCCAAAAGATGTTCATGGTGAAATTGCGTCCCAATGCGGGGTTGGGTTCTAAAGATATTTCGTAAGGTGACCTGTAATCATGAGTACCCTTGCAAAGCTCATAAGTCTCACATAAAGCAGAGAACATAGGGCGTGTGCATGCTGAGCTGTCTTTTGGGGAGACTGACACTTCTCCTTAGCAAAGCACCTGTTGCCCTGCTCACATACGTTCCATATCCAAGGGGTAGCTGCGTCCCTCCTGCCCAGCTATCTTTGTCCTCGCTCTCCCTGCCCCTCTCCTTCCCAGGTGACCACCACAGGCTCCCCCTCACCTCTCCTTCAGGGAGAGAGAGGGCACCATCCGTTCTCCCCTCTAGGTACCCGGAACGCTTGCGTTTCTTTCCCCGTAAAGGGCCTCCCCTCCCCCAAGGTGACCCAGGAGTCCGCGGTCTGGCTGCAGCCCGTGACAGCCAGCAGAGGTAGAGTGTGTGTGAGTGTGTGCATGTGCATGCGTGCCCATCTGTGTGCACACGTGTTCATGCACGTGTGTGCACATATATATGCCCCGTGTTCATGGACGCATGCGGGTGTGTGTGCCCGGTGCGCAAGCATCCAAGGCCACATCTGGGTCTCAAGGAGACCTGAGTCCTAACCCAGGCTGTACCGCTAACTCACCAAGCAACCTTGAGCAAGGCATTTGACCTCTCTGGACCTCAGTCTTTCTCATCTGCCAAATGGGGAGAAACCGTCTCTGCCCCAACCACCCCTGGGAGTTGTTGAGAGGATCAAAGGATAAAAACAAAGAGGAAAGCATTTGGAAAAGCCTCAAACCTCATACAAATACATGTGCTGTTATTTTTAACCCACAAGCATTAACCATCCCTCCCACACTAACAACACAGCCGCCCCCTGATATGTTGCATGACTTATTTGCAGAAATGACTCAATGTGAGACTATTTTGGGGCAGAAAATACACTTACATATATTTAGAACTTTTCCTGATGCTGGAACGAAAACTTTGAAGAACGTCCAGCTCAGAAGCCCTGCCTGCCAGAATGAGCAATGCCTTTTTTTGTCTTTTGCACTCAGATTTGTCTGTTGAGTCGTTTGTTTTGGTTTGGGTGTTGGTCTTTTGTTTGTGGGGAGTTGTTTTGTTTTGCTTTCTGGTCTTGGGATTTTGTTTTGCTTTATGTTTTGTTTTTTTGCTTTGCCTGAGAATAATACTTCCCACTTTTGGAGGAGAACAGGGAAACTGGATCTTTCTTTGAAGTCTCAAGGCTCCCGAGCGTCTCGTGCTGAGGTTTCCGTCCCAGTGACATCTTCCTTCCCCTTCAAAAGAGTTTAATAAGAAATTCAATCTCTTTTCGTGCCACATCTCAGTGCTGAACATTTTCCACTATTTCCTTGAAATGGGAAATGTGACAGCTCCTTGAAATGTGCAAGGTCCATAACCTGATGGAGAGAGTATTGAATGGGAGTTGTCCGGCACAATCCAATAAAACTTTCTAGGGTGGTGTAAACGTTCTATAGCTCTGCTATCCAGTATGGCAGCCACTAGACCCATGCGGCTCCTGAGCACTTGACACATGGCTAGTGCAAGTGAGGAACAGAATTTTTAACTGTATTTCTTTCAAATCCATTTAACTTTACATTTCAGTAGATACACAGAGCTACCATAGCGGACAGCAAAGTTAGTTCCTGGCTATTCAGAGTGAGGTCTGGGGACCGGCAGAATTGGCACCTCTTGGGTACTTCTTAGAAATGCAGAACCTCAGACCCTGCCTGGAACTGCTGAATCGGAATCTGCACTCTTTAACAGCATCCCAGGATGATTCATGTGCTCTTTACAATTTGGGAAGCAAGGAAGTGTGGTCTAATGGTTAGGGGATGGTCTGTTCTATTCGTGACTTTTTGCCCACTAAATCATTTTGACCATCTTGCTCTCAAGATTCCTGAGTCGAGTGAGGTCAGAAACATTTTAAATACAAGTGGTGTCATGTGCAGATGGCTAGCTATCATCATGGTGGATGAAGATAAGTTGATCCATTCTGGAAGAGTCAATAGAAGCCTTATGGTCTCAACATGCAAGAGAAAGTCCTAGAAACGGGACTGGTCATTTGAAGATCCTTTGGGGTATTGAGCTCAAGAGGGGGTTCCAAGCCAGAGCTCACAGGCTCTCTTCTGTTTTGGCAGGAGCTACAAGGTCCGATTCAATAGCGTTTCCTCATATTCTGACTCCCATAAATCATCGGGCGATGGGCCAGACCTCAGAGACAACTTTGAGAGTGCCGGACCCCTGGCAAACGTGAGGTGAGCAGGGGCTGAGGGCATCAGGGAAGACATCTTGGTGAACTGGATTCAGTTGCAAAGTGGGCTCTTTGTTAGGGGGTCTCCCTTCTATTCCCATCCATCTCATGAATAACCAGCTACACTGTCATTGTCTGGAGACTCCCTCCTCCCTGTTAAAGCACACTAGCTGGGCTGTCCTGTGACCTCTTCCTAAACACACTCTCAGAGCTCCATCGCCCAAATCTCACCCCATCTTCAGCATATCATGTGTGCTGAAGGAAGTTAATCCCTAGAAATTACTCAATGAACTACCCTTCCCGGTGAAATGTTTTACACCTTATAGAAGCTTCTGGAGACACCCTGCTCTCAACCCTGGATGCTCATGCCCCAGTGGCTCTCAACCCTGGATGCACATCAAAATCATCTGGAGATGTTTGCAATATACCAATAACCAAGCCCCATTTCCAGAGATTCTGATGTAATTGGTCTAGAATTAGGCCCAAGTATTGCCTTTTATTTTCTTAATTTCCTCAAGTGACTCTAATGTATAGTCAGATTCAGAAAATATTGGCCCAATCCCATGTTTACCAAAGCACAGTGGTCACATACCAAGGGTCATTTTAGGTAGAACATGGACAGATATTTTATATTTCAACAGTTGTGAATTCAGTTTAGTGAGCACTTAGAAAGAAAGAAAACTGGATGTCGCATCCTTGGTTTTGCCGATGTTAGTCAACACAAGGCTAATGTAAGCCGAGTATCCGGGCCTGGCCACAAATCTTCCTGACCTTTGCCAACCGAACCTTCTCGTACCTGCTCACAGCAATGCTTGGTAGCTGATTCACATCACAGGGGTCCTAGATATTGAAGTTTTATGTCCAGGGGTGCCCTTTTTAATAGACTTTATTTTTTTAGAGCAGCTTTAGGTTCCCAGCAAAACTGAGACGAAGATACAGAGATTTCCCTTATACTCCCTTCCCAGCCCCCAACAAAAACAGCCTCCCCCACCACCACCATCTCCATCCAGAATGGTACATTTGTACAGTGGATGAACCTACACTGACACATCATTATCACACAAAGTGCATAATTTATATTAGGGTTCACCCTTAGTGTTATTCATTCTGTGGGGTTTGACATCAGTGCATTGTTTTAGCTTGACATTGAACATCAGTTTTATACTTTGAGAGCCAGACCCATTTTTTCTGTATTAAATCTATCATGGCTTAGGGCAGACATTGGCAGGCTACAGCTTGCAGGTGCATTCAGCCCAGCCGCTCTGTACTCTTGCACAACCCGTGAGCTGGGAATGGGTTTTATAGTTTTATATTTGCAATTCACTTGATGATAGGAGACATTACCGTTGAATCCCAATTCAGCAAAACGCTATCCCCCCACAAAAAAAAAAGGAATTCTAGCCTCATAAGTAGACATAGTACTAAAACGTTATCCTCAATAACTGTAATAATAATTTTTAAAAATTTTTATTTTGTCAACAAAAATGTGCAGGAATTTGTTTTCTGTCTGTTATGTAAGTGTGTACATAATAGCTTCGATTTTGCTTCTTGGCCTAGAAACGTAAAAATATTTACTCTCTAGCCCCACGTATAAGAAGTTTGCCAGTTCCTGGTTTGGAGGCTTACAACAGGAAGTTTGAAATCATGAGGTGAAGATCGTGGTGGAAACGTGAGTCTAGGAAGTAACTGGGCTGCAGGCCTTCAGGTGTACCAGAAAAGATACTAATGAATGAATCACCTGAGCCATCTGTTAGTGAAAACAAGTGGGTTAGATAAGCTAGCGAGTACAAATTAAAAGCAAGTTAAACAGTAGTAATAAGGAAACAATAGTATCAATGGAAGTCATGTACCGCAGATGCCGTGAACATAAATATTGCATGTTTGAGGAACAACGCTGTAACCACAAGTCATGACTGGTGCTTGGAATTTCAGATCTCCATTGGGCTGAAGCTAAGGGGCAGGGCTTGGGGCAAAAGTGCTCCTTCCCAGCCCCCTCCAACCAGTCCACTCCTGGTTACCACCTCTCCTACCTGTCACACCACTGCCCTTGGAGGAAAAGGAGAGGAATCCAGCTCTAGGAAGAGCACGGGTGAAGGAGCGATGGGGGGAAATACTGCCTAATCCCACATACTTTCCTTGGAAAGACTCTACAAGCCCAGAGGAAAGGACAGGAAAGGAGAAGAGGCTCAGTGAGAAAGCATGTGTGTAGGTGTCCAAGGACAGATGTTAACCTCAGCTAACCCTCACTTGATCTTATGAGATGCCTGGACCCATCTCAAGTGCATTCTCCAATGACAGAGAGAGTGGGAGTCCCTTCCCAGCTCTCCCTCCACCTTCCGCGCATCCCCCATCTCAAGCTTTGGCCAACTTGACCCCTTCATCCTAAACAAAGAGATTCAGATGCAGAACCAGAGCCAGCGTGGAATAGCTTATCCAGCTCCATGCCTGGGTTTGTCTGAGATGACAGTCTATAGCAGAAAACTCCGACCTAGGAAAGTGGGGTGCGGTGTTCCTGTCCCACTTACCAACCTGTCGCTCCGGTCCCAGTGAGGTTGAGACCCACAGCCAGGACCGAGCCCTGAAAGTGTGACATAAAGTGTCTCTAGGACAGTGAACTAGCAAGAGTGGCCATCTGAGACACAGTCCTTCCCTTCTCGTACTCAATCAAGGCAGCCCACCTTAACAGAGAGGAAAATCTCATTAACTTGACCCCCACTGATTCAAACGCCCATGTTTTTTTGGTGGTATCTAGGCAAAGAGGGTTTGCAAAGCAAATTAATTTCGTAGACATCGCAAGGGGTGGAGTCAGCATATTTACAAATCTTTCATCCCCTTTTAGAAGAACCTGTTTACCCGCCAACATTTGATGTGGGTTTTGTTTTAAGTTTTTGTTTTTAATTCCAGTTAACATACAGTGAACATTTGATGTATTAATGACAAGTTCTTCTGGTCTCCTTGTTAATATAGGTCCCCGAGGACAGCTGTGTTATGATTTTCATTATCTTTATACTTAAAACTCATCTGGTTGTGTCAGTGATAGAATTCAAGTCTTCCAAAAAAAGTAGACTAATTTCTCTGGCTTAGAAAGGGACACACAAGAAACAAGCCAATGGTTCTGGGTCATCGCTATCCCTAACTCATCCCAGGACCACTGGGAATTTTCTCCTGAGGATGGTCACACCTAACAGAGACCAGAAGGAAAGGAGAAGAGGGCTCCCAGATTTTAAAATGGCTTTCCCCAGGTGGGCTCAGGGCTGTCTGACCACCATGGGCTAAACACGGTCCTTCTAGAGATAACCAGATGTCTAGGTCTGCTCAGGCCGCCATAACAAAATACCAGAGTGGGTGGCTTCAACAACAGATATTTATTTTCTCACAGTTCTAGAGGCTGGAAGTCCAAGATCAAAGTGCCAGTAGGATTGGTTCCTGGTGAGGCCTCTCTTCCTGGCTTGCAGATAGATGGCCGCCTTCTTGCTGTGCCCTCACATAGCCTCTCCTCTCTGCACCGTCAGAGTGAGAAAGTGATGTCGGTGTCTTCCTCTTTTTCTAAGAACATAAATTCAAATGGACTAGGGCCCAATCTTATGACACCATTTAAGCTGTTACCACCTTAAAGGTGCCATCTCCAAATACAGCCACGTTGGGGGTTAGGATTTCAGCATATGAATTTGGTGTGGGGAACATAGAATCCATAATACCAGACACCTCCTCATGCCCCACAGTCCTCTAGCATGGACCTTTTGTTGTCTCCTTGGCAGGTTCTCTGTCTTTGGCCTTGGCTCCCGGGCTTACCCTCATTTCTGCGCCTTTGGACATGCTGTGGACACCCTCTTGGAGGAGCTGGGAGGAGAGAGGATCCTGAAGATGAGGGAAGGGGATGAGCTCTGTGGGCAAGAAGAGGCTTTCAGGACCTGGGCCAAGAAGGTCTTTAAGGTAACCACCGGCCCAGATCTCAGAGACCTAAGGGGAGAAGTCACGCCCCCCAAGATCTCCAAAGACAGAGTACCTACACCATCAGAAATAGAACAAACTTGAGAGAACCCCCGGTATTTCCCCCATGTATCCAGCCAGGATACAGCTTTCAACAGCTCAGATGAGTTTGGGTGGTCTTAAAACACACATTCTCCACCCAGAACCTAACCCCCTGCATTATGGATAGGGAGTTGTCTATAAAAAAAAAATTGTAGTCTTGGGATTTCAGAGCTGGGAGAAATTCGTCCCTCCCTCACATTTAGTAGACAAGTAGACCAAAAACATAAAGTTGGTTAGCCACACCAGGGGTCCGTGCCTCGCCCTGGAACTCAGGTCTCCAATTTGTCCACTTGGACAAGCTTCTCCCTCTTGTGCTAGATCTTCACTGACCAATACAGAAGCCGCTAGCCCCATGTGCTATTTAAATGCCAATGTAAATGAGCTCACATTCAACAGGATGAATGAATAAGGGAATATGGTATATCTAGATAATGGAATATGATTCAGTCCTGAAAAGAATGAAACACTGATACCTGCTATACCATGGATGAGCCTTGCAAACCTGCAGAGTGAAAGAGGCCAGGCACAAAACGTCTATGCTTCCATTTATAGGAAATGTCCAGGACAGGCGAATCCATACAGAGATTAGATTCGTGGTTGCCCGGGGCCTGGAGGAGTGGAAAATGGGAATGCTGGCTAATGGGTACAAGGCTTCTTCTGAGAGGATGAGAATGTTCCAGAACTGGTTAGCAGTGGTGGTTGCACAACTCTCTCAACACACTAAAAGCCATGGAACTGTACATTTTAAAATGATGAATTTTATGTTGCATGAAAAATATCTGTGTATATATACATAGAAATAATTAAATGTTTAATTATAATATAGAATATTGTATATTATAATGACAGAAGTATTATATATCACATAATTGCATAAATATATTTATCTTACATAAAATAATTACATGTACGTTTTATATACCATCATGGATGTATAAAATTTTAATCATTTTTAATTAGATTAATTTAATTCTATTTAGTAGCTATATTAAATAGATTCTATTTAAAGATCTCATTCCTTGGCTGCATATTTCATGTACTCAGTAGCCACAAGAAGCTAGTGGTCACCCCAGGAGACAGCACAGAACATTCCCATTATGATAGAACATCCCATTGGACGGCACGATTCTAGACATAATGTCACAGGAGAATAATGAATAATGGCCTTCTGTCTGCATGTGGGACATGATTCGATTGGCCATCCTGGGAATAACAAGAAGCCGTGAATGCTGACCCCCCACCTTCACCTCCTCCTTCCTCCACCCCAGAATGCATTCTCTCGAGCAGCTACAGGAGAAAGGACAATATACAACCTCCTGCTACTCAGTTGGCACTTTCCATCCTGCATGGCAATGCACATAGGCAGAAAAAGGGGAAACTGAGGCCCCTGAGCTATCTGGATATCTGTGGGGGGAGGCTGTGTCTACAAGACTGTTTCTTGCATTTCTTCCTAGACAAGGAAAATTGTGATAACTTGGCTTTTGTTCCCTTGAGATCACTATGGTTCTTGACTTCAATCAGCCCACTTTGATTGAGCACCCCAGAAGCAGGGCCTGTTACAAACCACTGTATCCTTTAGCTATCACCAACCCCTCCAGTCCTCCCACCAACTTCCCAGTCCTGGCAACCACTGACTGACTCTCTGTCTCCGTAGATTTGCCTCTTCTGGACATTTCATATGAATGAAATCATATAGTATGTGGTCTTTTGAAACTGGCTCATTTCACATCTTTTTAAGGTTCATCCACATTGTAGTATATATCAGTACTTCATTGCTTTTTATGGCCAAATAATATTCTGTTGCATGTGTATATCATATTCTGTTTATCCATTCATCAGTTGATGGATGTTTAGATTGTCTGAAAATCAACACAAGCCCAAAAAATGGGTAAAGCTACCCTTAAAAACCTCTTGAATTGGGGTACCTGGGGCAGCCTGGGAAGGAAAGAAGCATCTGACTCTTAGTTTGGGCTCAGGTCATGATCTCAGGGTCATGTGATTGAGCCCCACATCAGGCTCTGTGCTCAGCACAGAGTCTGCTTAAGATTCTCTCTCTCTCCCTCTCCCTCTGCCCCTCCCCCCCTTGCTCACATGCTCACTCTCTCTTAAAAAACAAAACAAAAAAAAACACTCTTGAATTATCCATGGCTTTTATCCCAAAAACCTGAATTCCAAATGGTAATTCTTAGGATTACTAAAGTCAGAGAACTTAGGAACTTGGCAAAAAAGAAAGAAAGAAAAGAAAAATTCATAGCAGGTGTTCAAACATTCAATATGTTCTGCTTTTAATGTAATTGTTTAAATCTTTAGAGGAAGAGAGATAGGAAGTTCTAAAGTGTTTATTTTCTTTTTTTAAAATTTTCTTTTTTTAAGATTTTTATTTATTTATTTGAGAGTGCATGCGTGAGAGAGAGAGCACAAGCGGAGGGAGGGCCAGAGGGAGAGAGAGAAGCAGACTCCCCACTGACCAGGGAACCTGACACATGGCTCAACCCCAGGACCCTGAGATCATGACCTGAGCCAAAGGCAGACGCTTAACCGACTGAGCCACCCAGGCGCCCCTAAGGTGTTTATTTTCTTGCTTAATTTTAGGCCTCTACAAATAGTGGTTTTAGGAATAAATGACATAAAAGTTACATACTAAATAGAGGTTAAATCCTAAAGTCATTAATTAGTAAATCTGATATATCCAGCACATCAAAGGCATTCAAAAAGTATAGGATGGATTAGTGGATGAGTGGCTGGCAGGTAGGTGGTAGGATGGATAGATGGGTGGATGGGTGGGTGAGTGGAAGGAAGGAAGGAAACAAAGAAAGGTTTAGATGGAGGGATGGAAGGATGGATGACAGATGGAAGGAAGGAGGGGGAAGGAAGGAAGGGAGGGAGGGAGGGAGGAAAGGAAGGAAGGGTGGGTAGATGGAGGGATAGAAATGAAGGAAGGAAGGAAGGAGGGAGGGAAGGAGGGAAGGGAGAAGGGAAGGAGGGCAGGTGGTGGACGGATGAAGGGACAGATGGGTGGATGAGTGCATGGATGGAGGGATACACGCCATGACTGGGAGCTGTCGGCGGAGAGCCCCTCTTGGTGGACGGGGTCACCCAGAGCCCTGCGTGCGCCACAGGCAGCCTGTGATGTGTTCTGCGTGGGAGATGATGTCAACATTGAGAAGGCCAACAACTCCCTCATCAGCAATGACCGCAGCTGGAAAAGGAACAAGTTCCGTCTCACCTACATGGCCGAAGCTCCAGAGCTTACGCAAGGTACCCCCCACCCTCCTGGGGGGGCTGGGGCGGGGGGGCTGCAGGACGGCAGGGGGAGGGGAAAGGTGCCCCGAGGAGCTGGGTGTCGTGGCTTCCATCTCCTTTCAGCGCGGTGCTCCGAAAACAAATGCGCGTCCTGCAGGGCGGCGCGTTACCCTGAAACCTTCTTCTCAGCTCAGCTCAGCCAGATTTGCTTTTGCTGCTGCATTATCCACAGCCCCCCTACCCTCCCATGTCTTCTCTTTCATCTCTTCACTTCACCCCCAGAGGACGGTGGGAGCGTGAGGAGACGGTCAGGAGAAGCTGGAGGCTCTGGGTTGGCCGTGCTTTAACCCCATCTCAGGGAGACTGTTGTTCTCACCGCAGGTCTCTCCAATGTCCACAAAAAGCGGGTCTCAGCTGCTCGACTCCTCAGCCGTCAAAACCTTCAGAGCCCTAAATCCAGGTAGGAGCACCTTGGTTGGCTCGGGGTTCCCCACCTGTGCTCCAGATGCACCCCCCCACCATCAGGGAGGAGCCCTGGTTGACTCAGGGGGACTGGCTTCCCATGAACATCCCAAGTGCCATTGAGGTGCCCTTGTTGCTCTGTAGCATCGAGGTTTTCCTGCTGTCCCTTTGCCAAGCTCCCACCTAGAGGGACCAAGAGAGGAGATGCCGATGATCATCGTGGAAAACAGAAAGGGAACGGTTTTATGAGGAATTTTTAATATAGACCACACCCTTGTCGAACTGCTAATGTGCATTGTACCGGAGCATCCTAGTCAGAGAACATTTCCTCCTTGTGGGTGATTCTTCTCTAGAGTCCCGAAAACGGGCTACCCAGATGCTGCTTAAATTCCCCTGGGGTGGGGCGCCTGGGTGGCTCAGTTGGTTAGGCGACTGCCTTCGGCTCAGGTCATGATCCTGGAGTCCCGGGATCGAGTGCCGCATCGGGCTCCCTGCT